GGGGAACATAGCAAATTAGAAGCATTTTTTGGCTATTGTTTTGAGTGCTTATGATTGGACAAGATCTTTTAATGCAAAAGAAACTTTGTTTCAAAACAGAGTTTATTCACATTTCATTTTAAAAATCTGATACCCATAGGTTGATACGTAATCAGTGTGAAGACCAAGACATATGAGGGGAAGACGTATGAGGGGAAGACGTATGAGGGGAAGACGTATGAGGGGAAGTTGCAATTGCCGCAGAACAATAGAAAGTTGCCTGCTTTTTACGCGCATTGTTACTTAACTATTTTAATCCTTCAAAATATTGTTTATTGTTACTGCCGTTTCTTATTGGATGATGCCGTGCATATGCTTGAAAGTTCTTATCCTTTTTAAGGGTCTGGGTCTGGACTATCATTATAGCTCTCAGGAGAAAATTCTGTTTTTTTCTTTAGTTTTATTTTGTGTCAGTTTCTATATTATACATTACTAAGCTTCTTTGTTTCTTATTTTTTATCTTGATTTGTGCTACCATTTTCGTCGAAACCTTCTTAGTAACTTGCTGTTTTAATCGTTGATTTTTATTTTTCAACAAAGTGGACYAAGGAGAAAGAAGACAAAATCAAGATCATAATAAAAGACCAACTTAATAARATGTGCATGAAATACCCACAGTCATGTTATATCAACACCAAAAGTACACTCAACAGGTTGGATTGGAATTAAAAAATGTTACAAATAATAGTGAAAATAATTAGTTTGATATCAGGTGTTTCACGATCAGAACCCTAACCCTGACAAGAAATGATAATGATTCGACTTTCAKGAAAGAAAATAATCCCATTTTCTGTAAGTGCCGTACTTGTGTATACAAACTTGTCGAACAGTATTATTTCGGTCTTTATTGCATGTCTCTCTTGTTGTATTAATTGAAATTGTGGTTGTTCCGACGATTTTTCCCAAAAAAATCGATTGCCTGACGTTTAGTTCTGGGACTAAACGTCAGGCTGGCTGACGTTTAGACACTCCGTACTATCTTTTATTATTATTAAAGGCAGCTTTGTTGATATAGTCTTAATGTCTGTTTTGTCCTTGGCAGCGCGTCATTATTTAATGAAACAGATGTTTCCTTAGATATTGGATCCACGGGTGATGACTTGCACGTGTCCGTTAAAGTAAAGATACCTGAGGGTATGTAAGTACATAATAGATTAGATCCTAAAATATTCCCACCTACACAACACATTGACGACGTTGGTAAGTCAAAGAGCACATAATAGGCCTTTTTCCCCTTCAAAGCGAGAGACACTGTTTTACAACAGTCTCTCTAGTACAGAGACGTTTCCAAAAACAAACGAAAGCACACAAAAATTCTCCAGAAGAAAGAAAGCTCCACAAATTCTCTCTGATTTGAGGCTAAATCTTTATTTCCATAAGGCTTAAACTCTATGTCTTTTGGGATAACCAGCTTAGCCTCAAATCGAAGAAGATTCAAATTTCTAGAGCTATTGTAATGTCAACATTGTTTTGTGATTTTTTATTGTTGTTTGCGGTAAGGTCTTTTGCGCAAGTAAGTCTGTTGTCTCACTTTAACAGCGGCCTCTCTATTTCAACGGCAATAAGGATTATTCGAAAGTCCTACTTAGCACGTGGACTCACAATCTTATAGTTGTGTAATTATGTAATTATGTAGATAGCCCACATGAATCATGGGGTTCCGAGCACTCGGTGTGTTTGTTGAGTAGTGAGAGTGTGTTGTWGTTAAATAGAGTTGAGAATCGCAGCACCATCGACTTACCTTATATATCATTTCTCACTATGCACTGTGGCACTTAATTCCTAGGCTMTCATTCCTGACGGATTGGATGATTGTTTGATTGATGGTGGATAATGATGACTGTCTTTCCCCWGTGCAAGAATAGCTAGCAGTCTACTGGACTTACATCTGCAATAGCACGACACTGAAGCAATGCCAAGCTCATTTTTCAATTCTATTTCAACGGACATTCAATCCGCCATAAAATCATAGTCATGTCATCCAATCCGTTGTCAATTCAACTTTCATATGAGCCCCTGAAACAGTCATCCCATCCATCAATGAAGCAATCAATCGTCATCTCACCTCCTTCTTAATGTTAAATAGGAGGTCTGGTCCCCTTAATTGTTATCAAAGACGCCATTAAAGGAAGCAAGAAAGCCATAGAGAAACAAACGGGCCTTAAGGTGTCATTAGACAATAAGAGCATCGCCTTGATGTCAACAACTACGGCTAGGCCGCCGACCACATTTCCTCCAGGAGTGATTATAAGCACACCTACTAGAAGTATAATACCAGGTCTCCATGATTACTGGGCTGTCATCGTGTGTGCCGTGGCTGCCACTCTGTTTCTGTTGGCTATTACTTTATGTTTTACCTTTCATGCAAACAGGTTAGTTTTGTTAAAATAGTATTCACGATCATTTCGTTAATTCCATTAACGTTGTTCAGTTTTAAAGACCTAAAGACAACGACAACGTCGGGCAGGTTGGGAGAATTCTCGACGGTTATGCAAACCTACATAACCGTCTCGAATTCTCCCAACTTACCCTTTTGTTTGCATCAGGCTATGTAAACACGGAAAACGTTCTTTTCAACTAGGTTTTTTACGTACAAATGATCCTAAAATGACAGTATTCAACTAACTTAAACTGGGTAAATAACTGGTTAAATTACAAATTGATAAAAGACATACCTAACGATTCCTTTGTTAAAAGCGAGATTAAGCGGTTGAAAAGCTAACTAAATTGTTCTAATTGTGTAACAGGATTCAGGCACCACGGGATCGAAGCCACAGGAATTCCGATTCTGTACCGTGACATACTTCCCTGCGGAGGTTGGAAGAATTGGGCTTATGCATATAAAAAGTGTCAGTAAAATATCTATGCAATGTCAAAAAACATGTTTTTTTTAAGTATTCTTTCTCAACATTTGCATGATGAGTGAGTTTGTCTATGCACAGTGTTGATAACATCGTGAGGGTTGGCAGTAACAGTGTTCTCAGCAACTAATGCTGSTGCTGGTAACCTGAAAGGTTTGAAATGTTGTCCAGCTCTTCTCTAGAAGTGTAAAGTCCATAGTCAGAACTTCCAGGGCGGTATTGACTATATGGGAACCCATGGTTGGACGRAAGGACTTCCCTGCTTTGGACATAGTACATCTGTTACATTTCTTACAATACTCTGCAATTTCACGAGCCATTCCGGGGCAGAGGCATCTTTGTCCTGCCAGGGCTTSTGTCTTATCGATGTCTTTATGTCATCATGAATGSATGTCAGTACCTTACTCTTCAGGTTATCTGGTAGTATAAGCTTGTGGACTTCATTGCCATTGATAAGGGTGATACGATATCAGACTGAATCTTTTTCCTTTATCCTCTTTCAATTTCGCAGAAGTTTGCGGCATTCTTGAGTTCTTTCATGAATTGTCGAAGGGTGGGTGGATGTTTACGCTTCCAGTAATACCAGAGTCGGCTATCATCTGAAGTTTGCATGGTGCTCAGATCTGCTTTGCAGATAGATGGTAGAGTAGATGTTGTCTGTGCTGCTACTAAGTGAGATCTTGCACAAGACGTTTGATTAAGAATTTCTGAAGAACGTTTTTAACTGAAGCTGTAATGCAACTAGGTATCAAAAACATTTTAATGCTCACTGGTTATACCCTCTAGTCTGGCAGTGACTGTTTCCTCTCCATGGTGGTCTGTTCGGCTTAAGGCGTCAGCATTGCGGTTGCTTYTTCAAGAACGATATTTTGCAATTAAATTGTGCAAGTTCAGCAGCCTATCTTGTCTCAGTGGCTCCTAACTTTGCAGAAGTTTGAAAATAACTCAGAGGGTCACTGTCAGTATAGTTCTGCATGTTTCTTTCCGTGGGTTTTAGAACTCGGCTTGCGTAGCTCAATAAAGTAAGTCCAGCATTTTCTTGTTCCTGCGACCAAACTGCACCCAGTCCGCGGAAACTAGCATCAGTCTCCAGGATAAAATCTCGACTAAAGTTGGGGAACCCCAGTACAGGCTCTGTTGTTAGAGGATCTTTAAGCTTTTTGAAAGCCTCATCACAAGTACTTCCATTGTCAAACTACTGGACTCTTCTTGCTTCCCTTTTTCCTGCCTGTGGATACGTACTGACCTCTCAAGAGATTCTGTAAGGGGCTTTCAATTTGTGCATAGGTGCAAATGAATCTTCTGTAATAACCAGAGAGACCTAAGAAACCACGAAGTTCACGAAATGTGTCTGGTTTCTTCCAATGTTTAACTTCTCGAATCTTCTCGGGATCAGGAGATGTACCTTCACTGGTAGCGATGTGACCAAGGTATCGAACCTTTCTTTGGAACAGCTGACATTTTGAAGTTTTGACTTTAAGATTGAGAAATGACAGTCAGGACAGTACCAGTACCATCATCAATGTAAACGAGCAGGCTTTGGAAGTTACGTCGCAAATGATTAAGCCGCATGAAAGCGCTTAGCGTATTGMAAAAACCGAACGGCATGCTTGTATATACGTGGGAACTAGCGGTAAACTAGTGTGAGCTGCGTCGGTGTTTCTAAAGAAACAGTTATGTGAAAAGATAAATTTAACACCGTAAAAAAGTATGTGGAAAAACTTACTGACGTTTCGGATGTTAATCCTTCGTCGGAGTAAAGAAAAAACGCTTTGTTTTCAGATAAGTTTTAATTCTTTTGTTTCCTTTTTAGCACCTTTATTGTTCTTTTGTCTAACACTTCCTTTGCTTTTTTGTTTATTTTTCGTCACCATGCCTACCTTGCTCCTATTGGTCTATTCTCTTTGTTACTCTTACTATATAAACTCACACTTTACCTAGTTCTCTCTCTTTACTCCGACGAAGGATTAACATCCGAAACGTCAGTAAGTTTTTCCACATACTTTTTTACGGTGTTAAATTTATCTTTTCACATAACTGTTTCTTTAGAAACACCGACGCAGCTCACACTAGTTTACCGCTAGTTCCCACCATTTTA